TTAATTTTAGTTTAGTTATCTCCGCGTTGTGTTGTTTAGTATGTTTATTGTGAAATTTGCATTTTAAAAAAAAAATTCTGCAAAAGGATGATGCTTAGCGAGTAAAATTTTAATTTGGTCGATAATGTTTACCATTGACTTGTTTAAATAGTTCACTTGTGAACAAGGATAGAATGATGCCAGGGGTGTTATGGAGCTTTTTGTCCAATGATACAATTTGAATTCAGCCTAAAATTTGAATTTGGACCCTCAAAATTGTTTTAAACTTCCGAACTCAGAGGTATGAATTATTGAACTTCTGACTTTCTAGTGGATGCAATGTTGTCAGTAGTCGGCTTGGATTCCCAATTGGATCCTCTATAAAGGATTTGCAAAGATATCTTGTAGGGTTCAATTCAAGTTCGACACATTGCCTTCACTAAATAATGCGCAACAAGAGCAATTATGTGGCACTCGTAGAGCATTAAAATTTTCTGTGATCTAGGGATACATGTTAGAGTTACGATTGGAGTTTTATTATTTATTTATGCAAAAATAAGATTTCGTGGCAAAAGTTCAAAATTTTCAAGAGATAGTTTTCTTCTTCTTTCTTGTTGAGGTGTTTCTACGTAAGGCTACTTTATTCTAATACTATCATTTCAGAAATATGCAGTGCTGTATCACTTTAACGAATAGCAGTTGTTTATATTTTTGTTGAAAGACAATAAGGAGGAACTCCGTGCTCACATAAACTTAACTTGCTCTCCACTAAATTTGGGGCTAGGCTTTCACTAATCTAACAACATCTTATTTTTATTATATTCACAAAAATCCAATGGCCATGTAAAACAGATAGTGCAATTTTTTTAATAACACCTTTGATGCAATGTCACAAATGAGCACCTTAAAGTTATTGGCGTAGCATCTCAGCAATGACCTTGACCTTTGCTAGATCAATCTCAAAATTTTGTTTCATATAATAAATTGTAGAAGCTTTCGAGCAGTGACTTTTTGAATATTGATAACATGTTGGCTTGTAATACATCCTAGATGATTTCGGAAAAGTGCTTTCAGAAATGCATGGCTCCTCTTTCATTGATTTTGTTGCACGTTTTAACTACATGTTGAAGTCCGAACATGTTCCTTTGGGTTTTTGACTTCATTTTGATGTCTTTCACATGGAGCTCGACATCAACATATATTCTATTGTGAAAATGATATCGTGATTTTGATAAGTGGTTCTTGCATTTATGAGTTTGAATGCCATTACTACGTAAAATTATCTTCCCTGCGACATGATCAAAGATATTTTTCTTTTGATCTTCTTTTGCAATCTTTGTACGGTTGTAATTAGAGTGATAGGAAGTGTTTGATATCACGAGTTAACACTAACTATAATGGAAATGTGAGGGATGGCTGACCCTAAACTTAGCCATCTTTCTTGTGTACAGGGACTATATGCCACGCCATGTGAATGTAGGACGACTTTGACTGAAACTTATCTACCTCTCCCATGACTTGAAAAGCTAATTTGAGTGTAGCTCTTTTGCTCTTGCAACTTCTCCTTGAGATACTTGCTCCAAGATGAAGAACAAATTAGTGCTTTGCCAAATCTAAGGTGAACCTTGGGATGTCCATTTATAACTATATAAAGGCATCCCAGTTCCCATGTAATAGTTCAATCAATATCCCTTAGATATCTGTCTTTTGTTGTGGTCTTGGTTTACTTTTTATCCCTTAGATCTATATAAATTAGTCTCCCTACTAAGAGCTCATCCATTTCTTTAGTTTTCATTTTTGAAATAGACCAATTTACAAATTTAATTATCAAAATTGACCAAGATATTTATTTATCAAAATCGACCAACTTTCAGCTACTTCAGCAATGCACGTTGAAAGTTGGTCGATTTATAAAAAAAACACATTTCAAAAAACTATGGGATTGCACCTCCTATATGATTAGTGGCTTACATTAATCATGGGAGTAGCAAACGTCTAAGCGATTGCCAATCCCCTAGAACTTAATACATGTAAATTGTCTATGAGATGATAATCCTGTAAATATCTTTGACAGAACACACTATAGAAACTTGCTCTTGGTTTTTTTTGTCATAGTGTCTACGAGATTGTTAATCCCGTAGAGGTTAAAACATTTTTTAGCTCGAAGGCATAGGCTACCCCTTAGAGCTCTAGGGCAAAATCATGACTTTATTAATCTGACGCTACTAAATTTTATGGGATTGGCAATCTCGTAAGACTAGTGTAGCTCACAATTTTAAAGGGCCGTTCACATATCTAGATCAAGACTATGTTTTCAGCCTCCGTGTTTTAGTTGTGTCTCAGTATTCTAGCTTTTACAAGTTTGTCGTGTCATGTACCCACCCCTGTACGGATACTGCACTCGAATTTAGGCATGCACTTATTGAGATGTGGAGTCAATTATACAATAGATTTTTTTAATTTTAAAAAATTAACATACACTTTTTTGGACAAGGATCGGGTTCAATTCAGTACATATTTGGGCATCTTAGTCGTGTCCCAGTATCCCATCTTTTACAAGTTTATCATATCTTGTACTCGCCTATGTACCAATTCCCATACTCGTATCCATGCAACTTAGGTTGTTGCTCTAGTGCTGAAATTGTGAAAGAATTGATAAAAAACCCAATCTTAATCCTCTTCTCATGATGAAAACATAAGATTAATTTGTTGTTGATTTGCAAGAGTTTCCGCCAAAGTTATGTCATTTTCTTTTGGTTCCACTATCCAATTGCCATGGATGCTTAGCTGGGCCCCTTGACATGTAGGGATTAAAGTTGAGTTTTTTCTTCAGCTGGAGAAGAGAAATGGGAAAGAAGGGAGAAAACAATGTGTTAAATCTTAAATGGGTGTTAGTGGAGCTCACATTGAGTTTTTTTTTATTTAAGAATGTAGTTAGGAAATAATTTACTAATAAGGATATTCTAGTCATTCTAGAAAAATTTAATAGACCTAAAGGAATGTATTGTGTCCATTCTCTAACAGCGTATGTGAGGATTAATTTTTCCAATGTTGATGAACTGGAGGGTAAATTTACAAATAGCAAGATTTGAGGCAATTTTGCAAATATGGATGATTTGGGGGTATATATGCAAAAACCCTTCAAATTTTCTGAAACTAAAATGTAAAACATAAATTAAATAATCAACCAAATTGAATACATGTCTAGTTGATATACTATAAATATTTGTTTAGTGTTAAATGAACAATTAAATCAAATATAAACAAATATTTAGATGAATAATTAGCAAATCATTTGTTAATTATCTAATTCATTTCCACCCATATTAGGGGATGATTTGTTTCACCTGGTCCCTGCTAGACCTTCATATACAAATTGAAGGTTAGTATACTCTTTAACTCTTCATATTAACCTACATTCACCTTGGTAAATATTAGTACATTGTTTTTTTATTTCTTGCTTATCTATTTATCTTTGATAAAATTATTTTTAAGGAAACGTTTAAAAACGTATCCATGAGCATCATTAGTGTTGCTGAGTCTTTTATTAATACATTCAACAAATTTCATCAACTTCAGAGTTCTCATGGGATATAGGAGCTTCTTCATCTATCCACAGATTTTTATGAGCTGTACACACATCTTGATTATCACTCTAGTGATAGTCAAAGTTTGCAAAACTGCTTACCTATGTGTTGTTTGGAATCCAAGGTGATATCAAAGAGATATTAATCCGTATTTTAGAGCGTTAAGGTAGGTTTGGATAGGGAGGAGGACAATGGAGGGGAATGATTGAACTAAACCCAAGGGCAGGAGATGGAAAAGATGTGATGGAATGAAATAATTGTGTTTGGATAGACAAGAAGGAAAAGAGAAGATACTATAGCATGTGTTTGTTTAGAATAAATGAAGGGAAAGGAAGCAAGATGACCAATTTATCCTTATCTATTGATGAGCACTTGATAATTACCATATGCACAATACCAATGTATTCTTATCTATTGATGAGCACTTGATAATTACCATATGCACAATCTGCTAGAGTATGATATTGTTTTAGTAGATCATAGTAATTCTTATCTAATAGTTATGATTGAAATTACTCTTTAGACAAGATACATTATAGAATGGTATTTTGAGCTCTATAGGTCATTGTCTCCGTGATTTGATCAGGTGGAAATGGATGAATGCCTATATAATTGATTGCTTCAAGGGGATGAGAGCATAGTGAATTAGCTAACAACACCATCTTTGATAGAGCACAAAAATTGTGCCTTATTTGTCTTTTTTTTGTTAAAGTTATAAAGTTACCCATTGCATTACACTTCCACTCAAATTATGGTAACAAATACACTTCTGGGCACAAGAGGCAGCTTTACAGTACATCATGAAAGTTTCTATAGGCTCTTGTCTCTGGTAGGGAAAAATTAACAGGTTTAAACTTAAACTTCATTTCTTAAATGTGTCAGAGATTGAAAGGATTTCCCATTTGATAGTGATGAAACTTGCACATTCTTCCTAGCGCCAACCAACTTGTCTTAGTCACAAAAAATGTTAACCTTATTTGTCTTTGTTCTTCAAAAGAATCAGTTTGTCTTCGTCTTCACTTTGTCCACCATCCGAACAAATTTTTGAGGGGGGGCTCCGGTAACAGGTTAGGGTTTGATTTTGTTTCTGTGTTGCATTTTTCTCAAGGAGATTACTCTTTATATAGGAGCCAGAACTCATTATCTCCACCCCCCTCATAACCGCTCCTGAGAGAATTTCTCTCAACAAACCCAATTTCTCTCCACGTTCTTCTCAAACGAACGTTGATTTGGTCATCTTAGACCAGGTCAAGCTAACATCTCCCACTTGACCAAATCAACCAAGTGATATGCCTCCCACTATCCGTGAGATCAGATGTTTCTGTTTACCATTACTCCCACTATCCGTAGAGAGTAATTCTTATTTCATTATTCATAAAATTTTACTTGGACTTATTTATTCCTAAGTCACATCAAACTTACATGTTTGATAAAAGATTCCGCTGGTATTCCTTTTGTCAAAGGATCAGCAATCATATTTGTAGTAGGGATATAAGTCACTTTGACTTCTCCCTTTTCTACAATATCTCGAATATAGTGATATTGGATCTCAATATGTTTTCCTTTGGAGCTATTCGCGTCACTATTGATTAAGCTAATTGCTGCTTGATTATCACAATAAATATCAATAGGTCCTTCTAACAAATTGAGATCAAGATCAATCAAAAACCGTCTTATCCAGACAGCATGTGTAGTTGTCATACTGTAAGTTATATATCCAGCTTCTTACGTATATCTAACAACACACCCTTGTTTCTTGCTACTCCAAGAAACAGCTCATCCTCCAAAGATAAATAAGTGTCCCGAAGTGGACTTTTCATCATCTTTATCACCTCCGAAATCAGCATCGGAATAACCGAGGAGTTCAAGCGAATCAGCTTGATAAACTAATCTATGAGTCAATGTACCTCTGATATACTTCATAATCCTTTTAACAGCTTCCCAATGTGTTGGTCCTGGATTACTTTGATATCTACTGACTAGACTCACAGCATAAGCTATATCAGGTCTGGTGCACAACATTGCATACATCAAGCTTCTAATTACTTGAGCATAAGGAACATCTAATGGCTTCTGTCCCTCTCCAGGGCTTTGCTCTTTACATAATCTCTTTCCCATAACCAACGTAGTTGGTGTCGGATTGGAATTTTCCATTCCAAACCTTTTAAGAACTGATCTTAAATATTTTTCTTGGTTTAAACTTAGCATTCTAGACTTTCTATCTCGAATTATTTGAATTCTAAGAATATATGATGCATCTCCAATGTCTTTCATCTCAAACTTTTCGCTGAGATCTGTCTTGGTTTTATTCAACATTTCTATGTCATTTCCAGCGAGCAATATATCATCCACATATAAGGATAATATAGTAAACTTGCTCCCACTTTTCAAGACATATACACAATTATCTAATTTATTTTGAATAAAACCAAGTTTAGTGACTGCATCATGAAATTTGAGATACCATTGTCTAGAAGACTATTTTAAACCATATAGAGATTTCATTAATTTGTAAACTTTATGTTCCTGTTCTTTCACCTGAAAACCTTCAGGTTGTTGCATATATATTGCTTCCTTCAACTCTCCGTTAAGGAATACAGTTTTAACATTCATTTAGAATAACTCCAAATCAAGATATGCAACAATAGCCAAAATAATTCTAATGGATGCAAATTTAGCTACAGGAGAATACGTCTCCTGAAAATCTATTCCTGTCTTCTGGTTATAACATTTGACAACTAACCGTGCTTTGAATTTATTAATAGATCCATCAACACGATATTTCTTTTTGAGCACCCATTTGCATCCTATGGCTTTCCTATTTTCTGGTAGATCACATAACTCCCATACCTTATTCTTTTCTATGGAATCAAGTTCTTCTTTCATAGATTCTAGCCATGAAGCTGATTCATGCGATTTCATCGCATCAGAAAAAGTTAAGGGATCTTGTTCTTCTATATTTGTATCTACCGAAAAACAGGATGACTCACATGAATCTCACATGAATATAAATAGTAATCATCCATCCATGAAGGTTGTGTTCTTGGTCTTTTGTTGCCTACAACCGGTTGATTAGGTACATTATTTTTCATAGGTATTTCATCATTTTTAAGGTTAGGTTCATTCACAATATCAGGGTCATTAGTGGGAACAACACTGTAATAATCATCATCTATTACAGTTAGAGCTTCTGTTTCCTCTTGAACTTGTTCCTCTTTCTCTAGATTCTCTAGAAATGTAGCATCTCTGCTTTCAATGATTCTTTTTTCTTTATTGTAGAACTTATAACCTTTTGACTTTTCTGAATACCTTATGAATCTACACTTTATTGTTTTAAAATCCAACTTATCTCTAAGTTGACATGGAATGAGAACATGGGCTATAGATCCCCACTTCCTGAGATGACTCAAATTAGGTTTTCTCCCATTCCATAATTTATAAGGTGTAGATATAAATGCGCGCGCCTCATTGCGCCTCATGCGCCTTACGATGCGGGGGCGGTGGCGATGCGCCCCACATCTGATGCAGCAGCGCCTTTTGCGCCTCGCGTACATCCGTACTTTGTGTAGGATGCATGTAGTGCATTTCCTCACATAGTTTTTTTTGTTAACATTATAATCGAGTCTTTATACTTGATATTCCATATCCCAAAAAACAAAATAAATCCATTGTGCTTTTTTAATAACCTTCAATTGAGGACCATTACTAATCCTTAGTTTGGATATAAGTCTTGATTTAACATTTGATTTGAAAATTTATGAAATTTGCTACTATGTTGGGTGTTAGCATTAGAAATTAAGGCAATATATTGTGATTTTGTAGCAAGATATTATTTATCATGATATTTTTTATGTAAATTCTAAAAATATGTTCTTTCGTGCTTGATTACATATATTGAAATATTATGTGTGTGGTGTGCGCCTCGCATCACTCGGGCGCGCGCATCGCGTTACGCATTGCGCATGTGCGCGTAAAGATACTTTGCGCCTCGCATTGCGCCTCGCGCATTGAAAACACTGTTAACAATGTTCTGTTCTTTCTTTCAGCAACACCATTCTGTTGTGGCGTATACGATATTGTTGTATGCCTTTTAATTCCATGCTGAATACAATAACTTTCAAATTCTTTAGAATTATATTCTCCACCTCTATCAGTTCTCAAAATTTTAATTTTCAATCCAAGTTGATTTTCAACTTCTGTCTTATATCTCTTAAAGCAGTCAAAAGCTTCTAATTTTCTGGATATAAGATAGACGTGTGCAAACTTGGAATAATCATCTATAAAAGTAATAAAATATTCTTTATTACTATGAGTTTTGACACTTAGGGGATCACAAATATCCGAGTGTATCAACCCTAAAAGTTCATTGGCTCTATGTCCGCCAACAAAAGATTTTCTAGTCATTTTACCAGTTAAACAATGTTCACATGGTGGCAATTGAACATTAGATAGTGCAGGAAACAAGTTCATTCTGATAATTTCTTTTATTTTTGAAATACTAGCATGTCCTAGTCTAGAATGCCACAATTCAGATTCAGAAATATAACAAGACAAGTAGTTCAAATTCGAAATTTTATTATCAGAATTATTACAAACTACTGGAAGAATGCATAATTCATGCTCGGACACATATTTACCCATAGCATACACTTTATTATTCTTGCCTATAGAAACCATGTTATTATAGAACCTCACTTCCAGTCCTTTCTTCATCAAGCTGGGAACAGAGATCAGATTGCGTCGAATTCCTGACGCATAGAACACATCTTTGAGGACAAGAATGCTGTCCCCAAGA